AGCCTTCCTCTCTAAATGGCAAGTTCATTTTCCTTGAGCTTCAAGCTGGAGGCCAACCTCCTGGCGGGGGACCCTTTTGGTTCCATCCTTTGACATCAGCTTCAGCCCACCTCCCGCCCTGCCCAAATCAGGTTGAAGGCTTAAATATCCCCGGAGGAGCAACAGCTGCTTTATTGCTTAACTGCCAGGCCCTTGTGCTTCGAGCTTCCCATGCTATTTCACTGAATCCTCACAACTACCCTATAAGGCAAAAATTATAATTATCCTCATCTTGAAGGTGGGGGTTATTGGTTTCACTACTATGATAAGGGTCCAAAACCACTAATTCATACTGTTACGATATGAAACTAACAAGTGTATTTTACAGGCTACATACTCCAAACACTGACCATCAAACCCTCCTCCCCCATTACTGGCTCCTGGGGCCAGGCACAGCTGCACCCGTCGACTCCAACACTCATCAATAACCGCCAATTCCCAGGTTAAAGGGAACCTGTCCACATGGTTTGATCGCACTTTCGGATGGTAAATTGTGCTGGAGGTTAGGGAGATGTGAAGTCCAATTTCATGGAGAGGGTAGGAGAGAAGAGTGGGTCTCAAGTCGGTGAAAAGTCCAGAGACCTCAGCTCCACCCCCATCAGAAAGTACCACTGGTAGTGGATGTCCTAATTCTGAGGATATTTATAGAAAGAATGTAGGCTATCTCACTTTCTGATTTTCACCAAAGCAAGCCTGTTCCAAATCGCCCCTCCTCCACTGCCCCATTTTACAGCTGCTGTATCCCGGTGCCTTTATGTTGGGGAAAAATCCTTTTGGTGAGCGCACTAATATATTAACCTGTCTCACCAGGCTGTAAGGATATGTCCAGGGAGCTGTATTTCAAAGATATTATATATATATATATATATTACAACTTCCTTCTCAAAAGGCCACTTTTAACTAGAATGTAGTCTGTCCTTACCCAGCAAGAACACTTTAATTTTGCTTAATAAACAGAACCCCAGTTGGGTCCTCTTCCACCATTTCTGAGGCAATCTAGGGCCACACACTCTACCGTAGGCAGTTGCACAACCTCATAACCTTGCCAGGAGCTTTGTGCAGGTTGCCCATTGAGGCACTGTTCTCTCATTCTGCACCCTAGAGGAAGGAGGACCCTCACTTATCCCTTTTTGTTCATTGAGCATAAACTATAGGGAAACAACCCCTCGACCCACCCACCACTCAGGTGGCTCCTTGCCTAGTCTCATGCTCTTCCTCTCAACTGAGCACAACTCAGCGACCAGGAGCAGAGCAGCAAGACCACCTGAAACCAACTGCCATCTCCAACAAGCCCACAGTGTCGTTTAGGAAGGTTGGAACAGAAAGAATGTCTACTCCAAACAGATTTGTTAGATTTTTAATAAGAACATGGAAATCCCAATCAGCCCTTCAATAAAATTAAAGTACAGAAAGTGAAATTAAAAGTATTCTTCTGTAAATGGCTTTTATTAAAAAAAAAAAAAAGGTAACTGTGAACATATAAACAAGGCTGCAGGGCAGTACACCTGGAAAGAGATACATTTCCCAATGTACCTATGGGCCAGTGAATTCCATCATTTCCAAGTAAATTCTTAATAAAAACGCCACTGAGTAGGAAAGTTTTGCTGAAAATATTTTCAGACAAAACTCCAAAAAACAAAACCTCTTATATTGGAAACCAAACTTCCCACCCCATTTGGAGAGGCAGGCGGAGTCCCAAGGGAACGCTGGTGGTTTGCAAACGGCTCCTGGAGTCAGCAGTGTGCACGAAGGGGTAGCTCCACAGCTCAGACATGACACGGTGCTTTCTTGGACAACTGCTCCCTCAAGATAAAACTGAGAGGGAGTGGGAGAGACTAAAAGAATTCTAATAAAATGCCAATTCTTTTAAATTACGCTTTGGCTGATTTTGTGCTATAAGGGACAGCTGATTTCTAAAAATCATATCTTTTCAGAGTTTCATTGGAAGGAAGACTAGAGCAACTTGCCTTTCCTCATAGTCCAGGAAAACAACTGTTATTTCAAAAGTTCTAAAAATATCTACTTTCATGAAATAGTAACTATTTCACTACAAACCTATTTTTCACTAAATACACACGTTTCCTAATCCTGGAGTCTCCTGGGAAAAGCTGTGGGCTTTTCCTGGGTCCCAAAGACTCCAGTGTTCACAGAGAGTATGGGGAATGGCTGCATCCCCACCTCCTGGGATGGGCCAGGTCAGAAGTCATGTGCGGAAACACGGCCAGGCTTCCCCCAGGCACATGAAATCATCTTTTTACCAGTTATGATTTCCTCCGCCTCCAAACACAACCCCAATCAGCTAGGCACAAGAGGAACAGAGAATGAAGGTGTGCCCACACTCCTGGTTTCCATGGTCTCAAACCAGGAGAATGTGCAGGAAAGCCCAGCGATGGTCAAGCAACCTGGATTCCCAAAAGGCCACTGAATGGGAATGTAAGCCACAGTTCTTAAATAGATTAAATGTCAAGGTGCTGATTTACAAGTCTTTGCTAGGGTTTTAATAAGAAATGTTCCCCTATGTATTTGAGCATTTGGTTCCTACCTAGTGGTTCTTTGGAGAGATTGTGAAACCCTTAAGACACAGGGACTAGCTAGCCAAAGTAGGCTCCTGAAGGCCAGCCTTGAAGGTAGTGAACTCTGGGCAGAATTCACTGTCGCCAGTTCCAGCCAGAGCTTTCCGCTTTCTGCCTGCCACCATGACGTGCCCACATCCAACTGTTGCAGGGAAAAATCAGCAGTCAGTGCCAGTGGCTCACAGATGCACATCTAGGTCTTACTCCAACAGTAAGCTTACTGAGAAGCTTCCCAAACCAAGCAGGACATGAGGTTCACACTCAAGAGAAGAGTGTGTACGGCCATTATCACTTCTGTTCTCACTAGGTGCGGACACTGTCACTGCACTATTATGTGGACTCCTAGTTGATCATCGGACTCAGCTGCAAGTGGCTTTACTCACTGAACCATCTTGCCAGTTCCCCTCCCAACCTTTTGAGACAGTGTCTTACTATTTAGCCAAGGCTGGCCTCTAACTCTATGATCTTCTTGATTTAGATTCACAAGTAATGGGATTACAAGAATATGCCATCAGGTTAGAGCGTAAGTGTACATTTATCTAAAAGAGACATATTTTACATGTCATGTTGGAGGATTTACTTAACGCTATTAAAATAAATTGATAGGCTAAAGACTTTAAAAAGACTGATAAGATTATTTCTAGGGTGGAAAAGTTAGGTAGGACAAAACGTAAGGACACATTGGTACTTTAACAATGGTGCTGTTGTGTACAAACATGTGTGTATTGTATGAATACATATGACATCTTACTTCAAAAAAAAAAAAAAAAAAAAAACAGGAGGCTTTGTGATGGGTACACAAGATGCCTTAACAAAATGCACTATGGACTGTGTTTCAGATTTGTTCGAGGGAAAGCTGTTGTGGAATATTAGTTTAAGATGTGCTACATTCGTTTCTGCTGTGGAACATTTGTTTAATGATGCAAAGATGTGTTGTATCTTTTATGTTGCATTTGTTTAACTCTGTGCAGCTGTGTTACTTTGCCTGTCTAAAACACCTGATTGGTCTAATAAAGAGATGAAAGGCCATTAACAAGGCAGGAGAAAGGACAGGCAGGGCTGGCAGGCAGAAGAGAATAACTAGGAGGAGAAAAGGAGAAGAGGATTCTAGAGGCCAGTTACCCAGCTACACAGCCAGCCACTGAATAAGAGTGAAAGTAAGAGTACAGAAGTAAGAAAAGGAAAAAAAGCCCAGAGGCAAAAGGTAGATGGGATAATTTAAGTTAAGGAAAACTGGCCAGAAATGAGCCAAGCTAGGGCCAGGCATTCATAAGAAAAAAATAAGTCTCCATGTGTGATTTATTTGGGAGCTTCCCCTCCCCCCCAAAGAGTAAAACAACCAACAACAGCCAGGCGTTGGTGGCATAGGCCTTTAATCCCAGCACTGGGGAGGCAGAGGCAGGTGGACCTCTATGAGTTCGAGGCCAGCCTGGTCTCTAGAGCGAGTGCCAGGATAGGCTCCAAAGCTACACAGAGAAACCCTGTCTTGAAGAACCAAAAAACCAAAAAACAAAACAACAGAAAATTGTTAATGAAACAAATATCTGCCTTCACAAAGTTTAATCATGCTTACATTTTAACAAGCTAGCAACGAACAAGTCAAAGCATACACTATGTCAGATGAACAAAATGATCGATGGGACCTGGGAGTAACAGCAGAGTTGATGCTGCTATCATATTGTTTATAGAATTACATTTCCGTATGTGCATGTACACACTGAGTACCATAGGGCATGTGTGAAGGCAGAAAACAACTTGTGGGAGTTCACCACATGGGCCCTGGAATTAGACCCAGGTCACCAGGCTTGGCAACAAGTGCCTTTACGTGCTGAGCCATCTTGTCGACTCCAATATTGTTACTTTATTGATTATTTTAAAAGGTTTATTGTTATTTTATTGTATTGTGTGCCTTCGAGTGTGCATGTACACCATACATGGGCCAGTGCGTGCAGATGCCAAGGGAGGACATCAAGTCCTATGGAATTAGAGGCAGTTGTGAGCCCTGGGAACCAAACCCAGGTTCTCTGCAACAGCAGCATTTTTTTTTTTTAAATTCCCTGAGACAGGGTTTCTGTGAAACAGCCTTAGCTGTCCCAGAACTTAATCTGTAGAGCAGGCTGTCCTGAAACTCAGACATCAGTCTGCCTCTGTCTACTAAGTGCTGGGAATAAAGGCATGCACCACCATAACTGGCTAGCACGAGAAAGCTGTAAGGGAGATGAAGAGTTAGTTCAGTGCTTAAGGGGACACTCTGTTCTTCTAGAATGCCCTTAGTACCAGAGTTACTGTCCAGAACTCTAGCTCCAGAGGATCCAATGTTGTCTTCTTTTTTTTCTTCTCTTAAGAGATTTATTTATTTAATGTGTTCTATCTGCATGTACAATTTTATGCCAGAAGAGGGCACCAGATCTCATTACAGAGAGTTGTGAGCCACCATGTAGCTGCTGGGAATTGAACTCAGGACCTCTGGAAGAGCAGCCAGTGCTCTTAACCTCTGAGCCATCTCTCCAGCCCTTGCCGTCCCTGCCCCCACAATGCTTTCTTCTGGCCTCTACTGGCACTGCACCCACATGCACAAACCCATGAACAAACATGTAATTTTTTTTGTTTTGTTTTTTTCGAGACAAAAACAAAACCGTACTGCTTCAGCTGGGTTACAGGTATAAATTAAGATGAGTGGGTAGTTTTTTGTTTTTGATTTTGTTTTTGTTTTTTTGAGACACAGGGTTTCTCTGTGGCTTTGGAGGAATTTTTTGGTTTTTTGAGAAAGGATTTTTCTGCGTTAACAGCCCTGGTTGTCCTGGAACTCCCTTTGTAGACCAGACTGGCCTAGAAATCACAGAGATCTGCCTGTCTCTGCCTCCAGAGTGCTGCGATTAAAGGTGTGAAAAGCTTGCACCACTACTGCCCAGCCCAGATACATCATTTTTAAAAAAGTCATTAAGAGTAAAAAGACAATTTACCACTAGAGACCTGGAAGAGGTAGGGTATGAAATAGTACATTTATATTGCTTCTAAATTAATGTGATTATACATAATGTACGAATGTCCATCTTCAGAATAAGGAACATGTGATTGAGGCCAAGTTCAAGTTCCCTGACCACCAGAAGGCCCACTTGTTCAAATGCAATGCAGATGGATGTAAGGATGTGGTAGCTGAGAAGCTGCTCATCCCCAAAGGCTGTAGGGGCAAATACATCACCAACTGTGGTCCCAGGACAAGTGCAGGCCCAACACCTATGGCGCCTTCTACTGTGATGAATGATGAGTCCCACTTTTTAACTAAGCTGGGCCAGTTGGCACAGGCTTGTAATTTAAGCTACTCTTGAACAGCAGGCAGGTAAATCACAAGTTCTAAGCTAGCCTAGACACCTTAGTAAGAACCTGCCTTAAATTCTGTCTGATGTTGCTCAGCAGTGAAGTGCCCACCTACCATGTGCACAGCCAGCTTGTATACATCACTCCCCAGCACTGTAGAGGAATAGAAACCCTCCTTCCTTCCCTCCCTCCCCCCCTCCCTCCCAAATTAAAACCTTCCATAGTATTCTCCCCTGGCCAGTTTAAATCTACTCACTATCAACACTAAAAGAACTCCCAAGGACACAGAAATTGGGAAATGGGTAGATTAAAAGACCTCTCCACACATACAACACAGGCTGGCCTGGAACTTGTAATAACTGTACTGCTTCAGCTGGGTTACAGGTAATAAATTAAGATGAGTGGGTAGTCAATTCCTGTAAAGGGGCTGGAAATGGAAGGATCAGGAGTTCAAACTCAGCCTGGGCTACTTGAGACTGTTTCAAACAAAGCAAAAGAAAAACAAACCAATAACCAAAACTGAAAAACTCAACTGAAATGGTTAGGTATCTGTTCCCAAAAGGAAGCCTTTATATTGCCCAGACATAGTTTCCCAGAGTTATTTCTCTATCAGAAAAGACCCAATGAGGAGAATGTGTTGTCTGTGTGTATATGTGAGCATTCAATGGGAAGACAGTGTGAGTGAAGGAGACATTATTTACCTGTAGTTTATCCTCATGATTCGTGTGAGTGTTGGAGAGATGTCTGAATTCTTGAGTCAGGCGGAAGCAGTGCTTCACATGCTCTGGCGATACAAAGTCCTCTGCGACTTTTATGCAACTATATAGATTGTGAACCTGGGAGGAGGCAAGGATAGCAGGAAAATGTAGACATTAGAAATTCA